ACACAACCCCATTCATTGATGCCTAGGCCACCCCCCCTCCCCTGCCTTAAAGATGCAACACCATTCATTGATGCCTAGGCCACACCCCCTGCCCCGCCTTAAAGACACAACACCATTCATCGATGCCTAGGCCACACCCCCATAGATATACCTACCGTTCATGACGCCCAGGCCACACCCCCTGCCCCGCCCCCAAAGATACACGTCACCAATCACACGTTAGATGTTCATCCCGCTTCACCGTGTAAGTGTGAGACGCAGCAGCAGGCAGGAGCTGCACACTACTGTTTCACTAATATTGCACTCAATACTCAGATGAGTCACGTCTGTCGAACATGCAGTGCAGAGTATGATTATTGATGAACTACAGCCGACTCCACTTCTACAGTAATCTGCTGACTTGCTGAATCAAGCGTGCAGCACCGTGAGGTCATGCGACAGTGCTTGAAACGGTCAGAATGACATACAGTTTCACATGCTGTATAACAGAACACAGTGCAGTGTGGCTGCATGACTGTGATTTAACACTAGAACCGCCAGGGGCCGCTGTACACCTGAAAACATTTTACCCACGCACATGACCGCTGTTTTTGAATGGCTAAAGAACTTATTATTTCACTGTATTATGCTACTGTCTTCACAAAGAAGTGTCTAGAGTCATGAAATGATTATGTCTAGTCATCAACTATATTTTTGTCCTGTTGTTTTATGTTCAAGGCTTTTTTATGCAGGCTACACTAGTCACTTTTCATAACGGTCAATATTAAGCTAAACAAGCCTGCACTGACAACCAGAATTAGAAGGAAGTAAATATATATTTAGGTGGTGTAATAGGCTATTATGATACAATGTCATTAATCAATATATTAAGATAACCTATGTTATTTAAATTACTAAAATAGTCTATAGATAATAATGAGCAATAATAGGCCTAATTCACCACATTGCATAGGATGATGCGATGACAAATTCAAGCGCACAGCTTCACCGAATTCCTTATTATTTTGTTTAGTTATATCATTTATAATTTGAATTATACAAGAACACCACCAATAAACTTCAGGTAATCAAAGAAAGAAAGGTTTTATTCATTAGCCTACATCAGATCTGATTTTTCTTCTTCAGGAAACAGACTCGAATAAATAGCACAGACGCGAACAATAAACGATAGAAATGGCAAAACAAAAATTAAATAATGAATCCAAATTTTTAACAATTATGAGTAACGTTAGGATAAAACGTCTAAATATGATGCATTGATCGCCGACAGAAGCTTTACTGATCCTCGCCATCAGACTCTCCATCGCATTTACTGCTTCTTATACCTCTTCAGCATTCATAAAGCGCCTTCTTTTACTCATTTTCTCGTTATTTATGAAACTGATAACTGCAGTGAGTTGAAGGTGTTGCCTAGCAATGGACTATGTTAAAACATAAGCAGCACAGAAATGAGCGCGCGAACATACAGGCATTATACAGCGGCTAAATTTGACCCGCTGGCGCTTATAGCTGTAAACGCCCCGCTTTATGATCTGGTTTTATCTAAACCATTTTTAACAACAGGGGATTGTAAATCACACAATTTTAGTAAAAGTCAGTGACTGGGAGACTTGAATGTTTTATTAAAAATCTTTTATGTATGTTTTAAAAACAGCCAAGGGTCAAATTTACCCCGTGGCGGCTCTAGTGTTAAAATGCATCGGGCTGCACAATTTGGCACAATTTTTGGGGGATTACATATTAATATAACTATACTAATAATTACTTAATTATTTTTATTAGTATTATAACATTTTATATTTTATTATATTTTAATTTCTTCAATTCCAAACATTAAAAAACCATCCAGCTTTTATTTTGACAGAAAACCACAGGCAGCCTAAAGCTTCTCATCTGACGTTTGGCACATGCTGTGTTTTAAATACATGTTAAAGCGACTCAGAATCAGAGCAGATGCAGATGGAGAATAATATTTGCCCTGAGCCACATCACGGTTTCAGTTTTATTTTATTTTAATCATGCAATCCTATGCATGTAACTCCATTCTGAACATCTAGAGAGAGTTCATGTTGTCTCATGCAGAACATGCACAGCGTGTCATAATCACCACAAGCATGATATTATGAAGATTATTAAAGACAGGGTTAGTACACACTCACTCACACACACTCACACTCACACACACACACTCGCACACGCACTCACACACACTCACGCGCACGCGCACGCGCACACACTCACACTCACACTCACACTCACACTCACACTCACACTCACACACCTATACTAATAATTACTTAATTATTTTTATTAGTATTATAACATTTTATATTTTATTATATTTTAATTTCTTCAATTCCAAACATTAAAAAACCATCCAGCTTTTATTTTGACAGAAAACCACAGGCAGCCTAAAGCTTCTCATCTGACGTTTGGCACATGCTGTGTTTTAAATACATGTTAAAGCGACTCAGAATCAGAGCAGATGCAGATGGAGAATAATATTTGCCCTGAGCCACATCACGGTTTCAGTTTTATTTTATTTTAATCATGCAATCCTATGCATGTAACTCCATTCTGAACATCTAGAGAGAGTTCATGTTGTCTCATGCAGAACATGCACAGCGTGTCATAATCACCACAAGCATGATATTATGAAGATTATTAAAGACAGGGTTAGTACACACTCACACACACTCACACTCACACACACACACTCGCACACGCACTCACACACACTCACGCGCACGCGCACGCGCACACACACTCACACACTCACACACTCACACACTCACACACACGCACACACAAACTCACCTCCCACGTTGTAGCCGAGGCAGGAGTTCTGGTCGCAGTATCCGGGCGGGCCGGGCGGACCAACAGGTCCGGGAATCCCAGGTCTGCCGGGACTGCCGGGGTTACCGGGGCGACCAGACGGACCTGGACTTCCTGTTCGGCCTTCACCAGGAGCTCCTGTGGCACAGCAGGAAACAGATTCTTCAGCTATACTTTTTATTCTTTGGAGTCAAGTGATTAAACACACACACACACACACACACTACTGGACCGATTTCCTCAGTCACTGATGAATCGCTCACATGAATTAAGAGAGTGAACACAGTAAGTTGTGACTCTTCAAATGACATTTTCCATTTCAAAATCCCATACATTTCCAGAATTATATCTGCAGATTTCTCTATAGAATTTTCAGATCATATTTAACATCTGATAAATGTTTTGTGTGTTTGTGAGTGTGTGTTCACCTGGTGGTCCAGCAGGTCCTCTGGGTCCCTGGACTCCCACACCTGGACTGCCCTTCTCTCCCTTCTCACCCAGAGGTCCTGATGATGATAAACACACACACACACAGTTTAAGTGTGATTCTCCATCTTCTCTGCTCGCTCCATCATGAACGGCTGTTTTTCTGACAGGTTAGTGTTGTCTGTGTGCTTCAGGCTGTAAGTACAAACGCAATCATCCACCTCGCGCTCCCGGCTGGCCGTTCTCTCCGTTAGTGCCAGGGAATCCCGGGCGTCCCGATGGCCCCTGCTCTCCCTGAGGTCCTGGAGTCCCTTGTCGTCCCGGCTCTCCCGGTGGTCCGGGAACGGTGCGGATAGACACCGGCTGACTGGGAATGTGGTTCAGAATAGAACTGTACCGCGCCATGTGACCTGCGACCGGAGAAAGAGACGTCAGACATGCGAAAGCAATCCCAGGATGCCTTGCGTCCGCGTGTCTGTGGACTCACTCTGGATCAGCTGCTCGCACACTTGTCTGGCTATGGCTTGGACAGAAGCCGTTGACTGGACGTCACCCTATTAAACACACAGTATGAATTAAACAGTCTGAGAACGTGAGGATGTTCTCGTTATCTGATCAGACTCGTTATCAGACTCACCCGCTCACCCTTGTCTCCCTTGGGTCCCAGGTGTCCCTGAAACAGACAGAGGAGGTTTCAGCATCAGTTCAGTTGCTGCTATCATGTGCACATGTGTGTGGAAACACGTACCGGGGGACCCTGGTCTCCTGTGGGTCCTGGAGGGCCATTTTCTCCCGGGGCCCCTGGTACTCCCGGACCCCCCTGAGGATGAGAGGGGCCGGTTATAAACACACTCTATCGACTACAGCTGAACAATATATTGATATTTTGTTCTTCTGCCATATGAAAAAATGCAAGATTTTCAGCAGATGACTTGAATAGCTTTATTTGTAAAGTATTAAACATTCTAGAATGACGGGTGATTTTGTTAGGCAATATGTCTGAAAATAAATAAATTAAATTAAATAATAAATACATTTAAAAAAATGCAATTTCTTGAGTGCAAACCATCCTTTTAGGGCTCAACAGTTTGGGAAAAACTTGGGTGTTGAAACATTTATTTAGCATAAAGCGCTAAAGTAAAGGTGACTTGACGTAAAAAAAAAAAAACATTCCCACTGTTGTTGACTTATTTAATACGGAAATAAAATAATAATATTTGTTATTATGATTTTTATTTGAGATTATTACTTTATAAAAATATTAAATAAGGTAGGGATTTTTTTGTATTGTAAAATAAAAATTTTCTATTTAATAAATAGAACATTTTATTTTATAGCACAGCTGTAAAATTACAGTAATAATATTTAGTTTCAATGTTAAATCATTAATTCTGATGGTTTGCCAGCAAATAAACATTTAAATAAATATTTTAATATTAAGGGCCAAAAATCTAATTTGATTGAAAGTAAATGTTGCATGTCCAAATATATTACATTATATTATATTATAAAAAAGTAAAAAATTTTAATTAAACAAAAAAAAAATTCTATGTTTAAATATTTAATCAAACTCACAGTTTTTTACATTTAAATGCAAGAATAAAAAATAAAAGTTGAAACAAAATTTAATTTTGAATTTCCCCTATTTTTTCCCGTCTTTTGTAATATGGCAAGGGGGGCCATGATCATGAGCTGCACGCGTGTAAATGAACACAGTAACACGCTTTACTCTGAAATACATATATTGATTTTTAACAATTGCACTAGGCCATAACACGATATTGATTTTATTTCGATATACCGTGCTGCTCTAATATGACCCTTACGACACCTTTATCACACGTCAACATGCTCTAACGTGTGTTTGTGGACTCACTATGGTTCCCGGTGGTCCCACTCGTCCCTGAGGGCCGTCCTGACCCGGCAAACCCTGTGGAGGACGAGAACACACGTGATCATACGGCCGAGCGCAGTGTTAGCATGATGAGCGACAGCACGTGTGACGGACACATTACCCGCGATCCTGGAGGCCCGTCGCGGCCTGCAGGCCCTGGAGAGCCGGGAACACCCTACAGGAACACGAGATGATCTTCAGACACACAGCAGACAAACAGACAGAAAGCGAAGGAGAGCAGTGAGTGATTTACCTGCAGTCCTGAAGGACCGGCGTCACCCTTCTGTCCCGACTCACCCGGAGCCCCCTACAAAACATCAGTTACTCAACATGAAATATATTAACAGCTTCTGTACATGATGTTTCACAGAAATATTATGCTTGCAGAGCAAACAAACATCTAGAGGAAGTGACCCTAATAACTCCAATCGTGCTTTTATTATGAAATTATTTATTTTTCACGAAACACTGACATTTTGCAGCGGATCAAAGGTTCAGATCTTGAGGGCTTTGGGTACATCTACACAACAACGATGTACACGACAATGCTCTCATGAGTCCGTTCCGGCCTTTGAGTCTGATCGAGCCTGCTCCAGTCCCAGAGTCCGCTCACGAGCCTGCTCCAGTCCCCAAGTCCGCTCACGAGCCTGCTCCAGTCCCCGAGTCCACTCCCGGGCTTGCTTCAGTCCCAGAACCCGCTCCAGTCCCCGAGTCCGCTCACAATCCCACTCCAGTCCCCGAGTCCACTCACAAGCCCACTCCAATCCCTGAGTCCACTCCCGAGCTTGCTTCAGTCCCAGAGCCCACTCACGAGCCCGCTCCAGTCCCAGAGTTTGCTCACGAGCCCGCTCCAGTCCCCGAGTGGGCTCACGAGCTTGCTCCAGTCCCAGAGCCCGCTCCAGTCCCCGAGTCCGCTCACAAGCCTGCTCCAGTCCCAGAGTCTGCTCACGAGCCCGCTCCAGTCCCCGAGTCCGCTCACAAGCCCACTCCAGTCCCAGAGTCCACTACCGAGCTTGCTTCAGTCCCCAAGTTTACTACAGAGCTTGCTCTAGTCCCCAAGTTTACTACCGAGCTTGCTCCAGTCCCAGAGTCTGCTCCAGTCCTTGAGTCCGCTCACGAGCCCACTCAGTCCCCGAGTCCGCTCACAAGCCCGCTCCAGTCCCCGAGTCCGCTCACAAGCCTGCTCCAGTCCCAGAGTCTGCTCACGAGCCCGCTCCAGTCCCCGAGTCCGCTCACAAGCCCACTCCAGTCTCCGAGTCCACTCCCGAGCTTGCTTCAGTCCCAGAGCCCGCTCCAGTCCCTGAGTCCGCTCACGAGCCCGCTCCAGTCCCCGAGTCTGCTCACGTGCCCGCTCCAGTCCCCGAGTCCACTCCCGAGCTTGCTTCAGTCCCAGAGCCCGCTCCAGTCCCAGTGTCCGCTCACGAGCCCTCTCCAGTCCTCGAGTCCGCTCAAAAGCCCCCGCTCCAGTCCCTGAGTCTGCTCACAAGCCCACTCCAGTCCCTGAGTCCGCTCATGAGCTTGCTCCAGTCCCAGAGCCCGCTCCAGTCCCCGAGTCCGCTCACAAGCCTGCTCCAGTCCCAGAGTCTGCTCACGAGCCCGCTCCAGTCCCCGAGTCCGCTCACAAGCCCACTCCAGTCCCAGAGTCCACTACCGAGCTTGCTTCAGTCCCCAAGTTTACTACAGAGCTTGCTCTAGTCCCCAAGTTTACTACCGAGCTTGCTCCAGTCCCAGAGTCTGCTCCAGTCCTTGAGTCCGCTCACGAGCCCACTCAGTCCCCGAGTCCGCTCACAAGCCCGCTCCAGTCCCCGAGTCCGCTCACAAGCCTGCTCCAGTCCCAGAGTCTGCTCACGAGCCCGCTCCAGTCCCCGAGTCCGCTCACAAGCCCACTCCAGTCTCCGAGTCCACTCCCGAGCTTGCTTCAGTCCCAGAGCCCGCTCCAGTCCCAGTGTCCGCTCACGAGCCCTCTCCAGTCCTCGAGTCCGCTCAAAAGCCCACTCCAGTCCCCGAGTCCACTACCGAGCTTGCTTCAGTCCCAGAGCCCGCTCCAGTCCCCGAGTCCACTCACAAGCTTGCTCCAGTCCCAGAGCCCACTCCAGTCCTCGAGTCCGCTCACGAGCCTGCTTCAGTCCCAGAGTCCACTCACGAGCCCGGTCCAGTCTTCAAGTCCACTCCCGAGCTTGCTCCAGTCCCCGAGTCCACTCCCGAGCTTGCTCCAGTCCCCAAGTTTACTACCGAGCTTGCTTCAGTCCCCGAGTTCGCTCACGAGCCCACTCCAGTCCCCGAGTCTGCTCACGAGCCCACTCCAGTCCCCGAGTCCACTCCTGAGCTTGCTTCAGTCCCAGAGCCCACTCCAGTCTCCGAGTCCGCTCATGAGCCCACTCCAGTCCCCGAGTCTGCTCACGAGCCCACTCCAGTCCCCGAGTCCACTCCTGAGCTTGCTCCAGTCCCAGAGCCCGCTCCAGTGCCAGCGCCCGCTCCCAAGCTTGCTTCAGTCCCAGAGCCCGCTCCAGTCCCTGAGTCCACTCCCGAGCTTGCTTCAGTCCCAGAGCCCGCTCCAGTCCCTGAGTCCACTCCCGAGCTTGCTTCAGTCCCAGAGCCCGCTCCAGTCCCTGAGTCCACTCCCGAGCTTGCTTCAGTCCCAGAGCCCGCTCCAGTCCCTGAGTCCACTCCCGAGCTTGCTTCAGTCCCAGAGCCCGCTCCAGTCCCTGAGTCCACTCCCGAGCTTGCTTCAGTCCCAGAGCCCGCTCCAGTCCCCGAGTCCACTCCCGAGCTTGCTTCAGTCCCAGAGCCCGCTCCAGTCCCTGAGTCCGCTCACGAGCCCGCTCCAGTCCCTGAGTCTGCTCACAAGCCCACTCCAGTCCCTGAGTCCGCTCATGAGCTTGCTCCAGTCCCAGAGCCCGCTCCAGTGCCAGCTCTAATTTCCAAGTCCACTCCCGAGCTTGCTCCAGTCCCTGAGTCCACTCCCGAGCTTGCTTCAGTCCCCAAGTATACTACCGAGCTTGCTCCAGTCCCTGAGTCCGTTCCAGTTCCTCCCGAGGTGGCAACTTACATTGCAGAAAGTCCTAGGGTGGTGATGTCTGCTCCTCCCAAGAAAGCAGCAGCACTTTTCCTGGAGCTCTCTGAGTTCTCTGTCGCCTCTGTTCCGACCCCGGACACTATTTCTGAACTCTCTGGGTCTATTGAAGCTCCTGTTGCTGCTGCCGAACCTCCAGAGGTGGCGGCGTTCACTGCAGAACCTCCAGAGGTGGCGGCTTACGCTGCAGAACATACCGAGGTGGCGGCATCCGCTTCAGCTTCTCTCAGGACATTGATACTCACTTCTGAACTCTCAATTTGCCCTGTCATGGCCAAGAAGGCTGATCCTGAACTCTCTGCCTGTTCTGTCACGGTCATGGAGACCGTCTGTGATCTTTCTGTCTGTCCTGTTACGGCTAAGGTGGTCGTTTCTGAACTCTCTGGCTGTCCTGTTACGGCTAAGGAGGCAGTTTCTGAATTTTCTGCCTGTCCTGTTACGGCTAAGGAGGCTGTTTCAGAACTCTTGCCTTGTCCCGAACCGGCCACGGAGGCCGGTAATGAACTTTCATCCTGCTCTGAAACGGCCATGGAGGCCATCTCTGAACTCTCGTCCTGTTCTGAAACGGCCATGGAGGCTAATTTTGAACTGTCTGTCTGTCTAAATTCTGCTGTTGAATCTGCTTTTGGGTTGTCTGCTTATTCAGTCTCTGCCAATGCGCCCAATTTTGAACTGTCTGTCTGTCTGTCTAAATTCTGCTGTTGAATCTGATTTTGAACAATCTGCCTTGCCAGTTTCAGTCAATGAATCGAATTATGAATTGCCTGTCCAGTTCTCCCAAATATGTCTGATTTTTAACTGTTTGTCTCTACCGCTTCAGTCAATGCATCTAAATGTGACCCTCTGTCTGTCGTGGCCAAGGAGACTACTAATGAACTCTCTGTGTCTCTCCATCCTTGGGACCGTAAATACACTATCTGTTTCCTATGTTTCAGTTCCTCCAAGGTTTCAGTCTCAGCCCTGGTTTCTGACGTATGTTTCAGTTCCTCCTGGGTTTCAGAGTCTGCTGTGGTTTCCAGTTTCATCTGTGCCGCCGTGGTGGTCTTCAGCTCCATCTGCCCTGCAGTGGCGATATTCTGCTCTGCCGTGGTGCTCTTCTGCTCCGTCCTGGTGGTCTTCGGCTCAGCCCACTCTCCCCTGGTGCTCTTCAGCTCCACCAGCTCCGCATTGGCTCCCTGTTCCACCCTGGCTCTCTGCTCCGCCTAGGCTCTCTGCTCCGCCTTGGCTCCCTGTTCCACCCTGGCTCTCTGCTCCGCCTTGGCTCGGGGGGCTCATGTACCCATGAGCTCCACTAGAGGACACTCTATCCCATGCCCTTGTCACTACTCCCTCCGGACTCCATTTCCCAGGTTCCTTCTGCCTAGGAACCAATCACCCATTTACATCTGTTTCATATCAGGAGGACTATAAAAGATGCACACACACTCACTCCCATTGCTCAGTATTGATTTGCCTGTAACATTTCTTGTGTTCCGCCTTGCCTTGCCTTTTGTGTGTTTTGATCTTGGACTGTTCTTCTGTTTTGTGATAATTTGCTGCCTGCCTTGACCCTTGCCTGCCTTATGGATTACTCTCTTGCCTCTGCCTTGGATTATTGTTGTTTTCCATTGTCTCGACTCTGCTTGTCTGACTACATTTCGCTTAATAAAGCCTGCGTTTGGTTCCACTACTGCTTTGTTAAGCCTTCCCATCGTTACAACAGCATTGTCAAAATGATCCCCGTTCACACAGATCTGCAAAAACAACTCCAAATGCTGTATTATTCATGCCAGGCCAGTAGGTGGCTGTAAAGAAACACATGTGCATTCCTACAGACTGAACACGTCATACGCAGGATGTCAGTTTTCACAAATTGCATGGACACAGGTGTTTGACTATAAAGATTCAACCCCATCCACTGTCTGCGCATTTTCTCTTCCAGAGTATTTTTTTTCCTAAAGTTATGAGCGATAAAAATGTCTTTATACTTGTTTAAAGTTGTGCTTGTCTTCTAATCCCTCACACATGTAGTCATCAATGAATTGTTGTCTTCAGTAGTTTGTTGTTGTTCTTGTTCCGTCTCTGTTTCTTTTTTCATTGCCCGGTTCAGTGTTGACACCTTGTGGACAAACTCAGTACTGCAAAAACAATTCAAAGCGCATGTGCGAGCTGTGCACACATTGTATGCACGGTTACAAAAATCTGGTGGTGCACGTCTACCGATCTGATGACAAAATTTGCATCACCCACACTTTACACATATTCTAACGTACGGGAAAGAAGTGAAGTATACTTTGAACAAAACACTTCAATAAGCCCCCAAAGATGCTGTTTTACTCGCATCCAGTGAAAAAACTAAAATGAGCATATTAATGAATCAAATGCAACCTGATATAATCTTTGAAATGTTAATTCCTTATCTATTTTACAAATGCATGTTAATGATCTTCCGCTGAAATGACAGTCTTCTCTCTGGTGACGTATACAGGACTTGTCCAATCCTTTAGTGCACTCATTTAGTATTACCTGTATAAATGTGTTGAGTTTATATGGAAGATCATCTTCTAGCCAGTCTAGTGGATGTCTCTGAGAAATAACTGAGATCTGTGTGAGATTAACAGGGTCACTTCATTTCTGAATGAATGTCTCAGATTCAGTAGTTGTGAATCTGTGTGATCAGTGAGAGTGAGTGACTAAAGCAGTGTAAACTAGGGCTGGAGAACTACATTCAAATTACTTAAATAACAATAATAATTTAATTATGTTTGAATTCTAACGACATACTTTATGTTTGAGGGCTTTTCAGTTCTGGCCCTTGAGGTCCACTTTCCTGCAGAGTTCAGCTCCAACCTTGATCAAACTCACCTGCCTGTAACATTATAGTGATCCTGAAGACCTTGATGAGCTTGTTTAGGTGAGTTTAATTAGGGTTGGAGTTAAACTGTACAAGAAAGTGGACCTCGAGGGCCAGAGCTGAGAACTCCTGTGTCAGAGGGAAAATGAGCACAATAAGGAAAAAAAAGAACCAAACTCTTTTGACAGCAATATAATGAGCATGACTTTGTTGCATAACATTTAAATGTACATAAATCAAATATAATTTCCTAGATCTGCACACAACAAAACAGAGATAAAAAAGGTGCATGTAGATAAGGGAAAGTGCATCAGTAATATGGGAAAACAAATCAGATGGCATACTTTATTATATTAACATAAAATAGCAAACATTGCAGTGTCAAATGTGTGAAGCGACGTGGTGTTAGCATGTTACGGATAAACGCTTAGTTTCACGTAGTTTCAGTGTTTGAAGGGAAAAATTTCAAATAGTGACAGAAAACACTGAATTATTCCATTCAAGTCCATTCATTCTCCACTCTCTATTTCAGCCATTCATCTAATTAACAGCGCAGCAGTGCCGCATCTAACGGACTGAACTAGACAGGCTAACAAAAACAAACTGCGTCAGCTGCGTCATCATGTCTTGCGCCTCCTGACACACTTAAAATACAGATGTAAGTGTTTTGTGTTTGAATGTGCATCTCGTTTAAAAACTCAAAAATATATGAAATTCGAATTTTACTTTGACAGCCCCAGTGTGAATGTGGAATCAGTGTCAAGGTGCTGTTAGTTACCGGAGGGCCTCTGATAGAGCGTCCGCTGGGCCCCGGAGGACCGGGAGGCCCCTGAGCACCCGGAACGCCAGCGTCCCCCACTGGACCAACAGGACCCTTCACACACACACACACACACAGACAGGTGTGTTAATCTACTCATACAATCACACTTATAATCTCTGGAGGTGGATTGTGGGTAATACTGTACCACAGGGCCGGGTTCACCTCGATCTCCTCTGGATCCTCTGATGCCCGGACCTCCCTGTCACACAAACACACACACACACATATAGAGTCAGTGAGTGATGTCTGAGATGATGATGATGATGATGATGATGATGATGAAGGGCTCGTACTGGGGGGCCGGCGAGGCCAGGGGGGCCCTTACTGTCCTGAGTGCAGGTGCAGGCGCGTGGGAGAGATGGACACTCAGCTTCCTTTCTCTGCAAACAAACAAATACAGCAGCTGAATCACACACTGTACATGAACATGCATGATGATGTGAATCTCTCCATGAGTCACTATGAAATCATTCACATGAATCAGTTCAAACTTGCAATGACACACACACACACACACTCACCAGGCTGGGCAGCTCGCAGCATTTGTCCCGTTGAGCCCATGACGTGCTGCAGACAATATCAAAGGACTGCAGCTGAAACTAAACATACACACAGATGTGAGGCGTGTTATTCTAACACTGAACCACATTTATGCATGCATTTCACTTTGATCTCACACACACACGGTACCGGTGCAGAGTTGTCTTTGGATCCTCTGGATCGCACCATCCGTCCCAGAACCTCCACGCCATCAGTGCTGATGTTTTTGGCCGCATTAACAGGTTTCTCTCCCGCCGGTTTACAGTCGACCATCACAAGAGCCGACGTCTTACTGACAGCGATGTGCAGCTGCACTCACACACACACACACACACACACACACACACACACATTAGACAACAGCACATTCACTGCTGGACCAGACAGGATCTCCTGCGGCTGTGACCTCTGACCTTATGAAAACTGCCATAGAAGAGCTTCTGGATGTCCGGACCCTCAAACGTCACCGTCTGAAAATCACCATTATAATCAGTGTTGAAGTAAGTCAGCGTCTTTCCTGGATCTGTGAAGTGAAACGAGAAGACGAGACATTTATCTTTAGAAGCATATTTTTATATTCATGCATCCAGCATACGCTCTTACGACTGCACAATAATGGTCAAATGTTAACCACGATTAGTTTACACAAAAAAAATTAAATCACGGTTATGTTTGCTGATGTTTTCAGCTCATCAGTGCTTTTTCCTCAGAGAGAGAGCACATGTGAATGGTTGCCAGGTTGGGAAGATTAAGTAAACCACTGGGCAGAAAATGTATTGATTTATGAAAAAAGCTCTGACTGGGGGATTTAATTTCTTGACATCTGGCAACCGCAACCATGACTGCCTGTGGAAGCTTGTTACCAAAGCAAGATAATGCAAATGCCAAATTAAAAACATTTCAGTATAAATAAGCAGCGGGCAAATATCGCAGGCAATTATGCTTAATAAAACGAGAGAAACAGAAAACCTGATGACAATTACATTATGATTCAACGTGCAGCACTAAGTCAAGGTAAACATGTGAGAATCGAACCCGTGAGCTGCAGGACTGTGACGCGGCGGTGTTACTCACTGTCCAGAATGACTCCCACCAGCGGCTCATTGTTGCTGTTGAGGACTTCCCACAATGCAAAGGGCTCCTGCGGCGTCTCGGGGAGCAGGCGGAAGACCATGGTGATGGTGTAGTCTGACGGCAGCCCCTCCGGATGAATGAACCTGCGGCATCAGAGTTCAGGCTGATTTCATTTCAATATCTCCAGCTCTGTGATTTCATGCTTTACACACGACTTGAAAATAAAACGTGTGTGTCACATCTCAAATCAAGCTCCTCCTAGAGTGACTCCACTACACTTCATTCCATTGACTTCCATTCAGTCGGAAACACAAGCTCAAGTGAATTTCACTGTGTTCCAAAGTTCAAGTTTGGTGAACTCTGACGTCTAATCCATAAGACGTGAGAGACCTCTCAGCTGAATTAAAAGAATACTTTACACAACTTTAATTCTGCAGGATTGTAGTAAAGTGGAGTAATTGTGATATTTTTACATGTTCAGGTTTTGTGCAGGTTTTATGAAGGTTAATGTTAGACTAACACCGTCTCCTAACCAGATTCCACCAGACTCAACAAAATCAATCAAGAATCACAGCCAATCAGGAGAGCGTGTGGGCGGAGCCTCTCTGCAAGCACACTGCACTCGCAAAACATAATCTAACTCATAAATATTACACTATTTTAAAATGATTTAAAATACACTCTGAGAGTCTCTGTCGTGGAATACACAAGTTTCTGAGGTGAACTATCTGTTGTTGCTTTCAGTATGGCTATAATGGTCACTCAAAATGATATTCAAACTCACATTAGACACTTTTAACATTGAATAAAGCACATGATCTGAGTACCGGAGATTTTCACTGTCAGTTTGTATGTTGTTTTTTCAGCCGTGATGTCGCAGAAATAGAAACGTTTCTAAAATAGAATCCACTGTCGCACATTGTGAATCTCTCTCGCGTCTGGTTAGGACAAAAACTCAGATTAACATGAGAAAAGGTACCTTTCATTATGTGTCACGGAGTCGTGCTGCATCTGCAAACGCACGCAAGGCTGCTGGCCCCGACGGCATTCCTGGACGTATGCTTAGGGCATGTGCAGAGCAGCTCGCAGGGGTCTTCACAGACATTTTCAACCTGCCCCTCACCCAAGCAACTGTGCCAACATGCTTTCAGAATCAGAATGAGCTTTAAATCCACATCCATTGTGCCAGTGCCGAAACACTCCTCCCCGACGTGCCTGAGTGACTACCGCCCCGTAGCACTTACACCTATTGTTATGAAGTGCTTTGAGCGACTGGTCCTAGCACACCTCAAGAACTGCCTCCCACTCACACTGGACCCACACCAATTTGCCTACCGTAGCAATAGGAGCACAGAGGATGCAGTATGCACAGTGCTGCACTCGGTACTCACACACTTGGACAATAACAACACACATGTACGGATGTTGTATGTTGACTTCAGCTCAGCATTTAACACTGTCATTACCTCCAAGCTGACCACTAAACTTGGAGACCTGGGCATTAACACCTCCCTCTGCAACTGGATTATGGAATTTCTGACCAACAGGCCTCAGCATGTTAGGTCAGGCCACACCTGCTCCACCACCATCACACTCCACACCGGCGTACCACCGGGCTGTGTCCTGAGCCCGTTCCTCTACTCCCTCTATAGCTCACCTTAAGAACTGCATCCCACCCACACTGGACCCACACCAATTTGCCTACCGTAGCAATAGGAGCACAAAGGATGCTGTATGCACAGTGCTGCACTCGGTACTCACACACTTGGACAATAACAACACACATGTACGGATGTTGTATGTTGACTTCAGCTCAGCATTTAACACTGTCATTCCCTCCAAGCTGACCACTAAACTTGGAGACCTGGGCATTAACACCTCCCTCTGCAACTGGATTATGGAATTTCTGACCAACAGGCCTCAGCATGTTAGGTCAGGCCACACCTGCTCCACCACCATCACACTCCACACCGGCGTACCACCGGGCTGTGTCTACCACCCACTACTGCAGGCCTGTGCATGGATCCAACTCCATCATCAAGTTTGCAGATGACACCACGGTGATTGGCCTCATCAGAGACAACGATGAGACTGCCTACAGGGAGGAGGTACAGCACCTGGCCGCATGGTGCACTGACAAAAACCTGCTCCTTTACACCAGTAAGACAAAGGAGCTTATTGTGGACTTCAGGAAGAAGAAAGGAAACACGCATGACCCCTCCACATTAGCGGGACAGTTGTTGAACGTGTCTCCAGCTTCAAGTTCCTGGGAACCCACATCTCGGAGGACCTGTCCTGGACCACAAACACCTCCAGCCTGGTCAAGAAGGCTCACCAGTGCCTCTTCTTCCTTAGGACACTGAAGAAGAACCAGTTGTCTTCAGCCATCCTGGTGAACTTCTACCGGTGTGCAATCGAGAACATCCTTTCCAGTTGTATCAAAGTCTAGTATGGGAACTGCTCAGTTGCTGACCGCAAGGCACTGCAGAGGCTGGTGAAAACCGCCCAACGCATCACAGGGACACCACTTCCTGCTATTGAGGACATCCAGAGGAAACGCTGTCTACGTCGAGCTCGCAGCATTCTTAAGGACTCCTTTCACCCTGACCATAGACTGTTTAACCTCCTGCCCTCCGGGAGGCGCTTCAGGAGCCTCCGGACAAGGACCAGCAGACTCAGGAACAGCTTTTTCCCTACAGCTGTCTCCTTACTTAATTCTGCCCACTGACACCCCCCCACACACACACACCACTACACACTCCTCACCACATCTGTTTAAAGAAAAAAACTGTTACACTTGTTATTACTTGCACTACTGTCTGTACATCCAGAATTCTGAAATGATCCATTTGCACACTGGAATATTTTCTATGCACTTTTTTTTAATGTCCATTGCACTAGAGTTTTGCACAGTTTGATGTATCGCTTATACATATTCATTTGTAAATGATGTCCATATGTTCTGCTTATAGTGTACATAAACTTATTACATAATCCATCTGTATAGTATGTTCATAGTACACCGATCTGTATATCATGCTGATAGTATTTAAAAATCTGTAAATTATGTCCATAGTACTGCCTTATCTGTATATTTATTGTACATTTGTAACATTGTAGACACTGTATATCCTGTACTTACTGCTTATTGCACTTCTGGTTAGATGCTAACTGCATTTCGTTGCCTTGTACCTTACATGTGCAATGACAATAAAGTTGAATCTAATCTAATCTAATCTAAT